ATGATTCTATGATTCTAAGCTCTTACTTGGGTTTTTTGGGGTACCTAAGGAATATCCTAAACTTCAGTAGGAATAGATGCTTTACTACTGCCATTCACTCTCATCTTTCTGAGTGTCTTCTCTTTTCAGATGCCTTTATCTTACCTGATAATTCTAGTGACTTTCACTGGAAGGAAAACAAGTTTCTTACCCTTTTCTAAATATCTGAGTATCAGAACCAAATTAACAACTCTAGCAAATGTAAAGGCTTTTAAAGGAGCTTCTGGATTAGCATGGTATTTATATTTGCATATGATGTTCTCTAACTGCAAGTTTCAAAACAGGTAAGTACACTGTGCTGATGGCAGCGTGTACTGCATGTGCTTCCGAAGAAAACATCTTGAAGACTGTAGAACTGCTTCTGTCGAGGAATGCTGACCCTAACCTTACTTGCAGGTACCAAAAAATCCCCATGTCTGTGAATACAGCATAAAATTTAATATTAATGTAGAGACATCTTTATAGACATAGCTGTTGTTGGTTAAGATGATGTGTACTTCATTAGCTTTTTGTAACTTCGTTGCTGTCTGTATAAGGAAAGATTAGCGTCTAGGTTTTTATTTCTCCTAGTACAGTCATTCATCTGGGGAAATAAGACTATGATCAGTTTAATCAAATTTAAATATGTTCTTCAGCTGAGCAAGATATATGTTTAAGATAAAAACTAATCATAATACTTCAGTTGACTGCAGTGTAAGGGCAAGAAGTATGTCCTCTGCCTTTCCAAATCATATTTCTATTCTGTTTAAGGATGTAAGTTAAATCAGTTAATGCTTTATTTAAATTCTTGTCCTCCTTCTGAGCTTGTTGTGGGTCTCTAGCTATATTTCTTTCACAGACAGCCTCCTATGGAAAAAAAAACCTTCTCTATAAATAAAATACATTTATTCTAGTGCAATCTGGAGTAATCCACATTAAAAGGAGATTTAATCTCCATTTAAAAACAAGTAATAGCTTGTTTCTTGAATTACCACTTTGTGTTTAAGCAATCTGAAGCAGTGCATTGTGAGATGTCTGTAGTTACATAGTCTGATGCAATGTTTTGCATCAAAAAAGAATGAAATTCTGGGCTCACCCAGGATAAACTGTCTTCCCGCTGCTGGGGGAAAAAAAGAGATAATGTTTGGGTCAAATTGAAACTGCTGCTTTTTCAGCTAACTGAAGCTCTTTTTTTTTTTTTTTTTTTTATACCACAGTTCTTTCACCACATTACCTGAGATATGTAGGCTGTGTAACTCTCTGGAAGGACAGAACTGGAGGCCTGTTGGTTCTTATTTGTAGAATTCAATTACTCTATGCCCTGAACCTCACTATGAGCATAGTACTGATAGACGAAGAGGACATACAGTCGTGCTGAAGCACCACTGATGTCTCATACCAAATTTAAATGCTGTTCGTTTATTCTTATTAGACTAAAAATTGTTCATGAAAGAAGAGAAAGCTACAGACTCTGAAATAATTATATACTGTTGCCATCAGATAGCTGGGTGTTGGGATAAACATCCTGCTTTAAAAAATGGGGGAAGCCTTTCCATTTTTAACCTTTGTCCTGGGTGTTTGAAAATGTAAGCCTGAGTGCAAAGCTGCAGGTTTACATTTGGAAAGCCCTTTGGCTAAACTTTAAAAAAAAAAAAAAAGTTTGGATTCTGACACAAGAGATGGGAATTTTAAGCGCAAAACTTTATTTATAAACTTAGAGTATGTTATGCATAGCTGGTCTTCATGTACAAATATTTATCTGCTATCTCTTTGTTTCCTAAGACCTCGTGCTAACGTGTGAGTTAGGCTTGCATACATCAGACGCTGTGTCCAGTTGTGTTTTTTCACTTTTGCAACAGTCGTCTTTCTCAAATGAAAAGCTAAATTAAGTGACAGTCAGAAATGTCTTATTTGTACCAAACAAAAGTAGAAGTACAGGGTCTGGATTTTTCAGAAATCTTTGGTGCTGCCTTTATTCATTTCCAGTATTTGACATCTGTGCATAGCATTCCATCATTAGAAGAGTGCGGGCAGCAGCTGCTGCTTTTTGTGGGCTTCTTCAACTATGTTCTGAAACAGGAGGATAAAACACATCAAACCACCTTCTGTGAAGATAAGGGATCAAAACAGACCCTCTGTGTGGCACTGCAGCCCCACTTCACCTGTTTCATTACAGCATGCAGGATGTTCTGTAGGAGCGCATCGGAACTGTCAGTGAGTTGAGATTATGTGAGAGTATTTCCTGTGTGATCAGTTTACCACAGGTGTTTAAGAACTAAGGTTCACATTATTTGGCTGTCTCAGCACTTAAGAACCAGAATGTTTTTAGGAAGCTTCTCTTTTGTCCACCACCAACTGGAATGTGTGAATGCAAAGCAGAATATTTAACTTCATGTAAGGTAGAATTTGGTATTTATCCTTTCTCTGTTATACTGTCAGGGCAGCCAGAAGGTGGTTTTATTTCATGTCATCTGGAGGTGATACAGAGAAACTTGGAATTTTGTTCGTCTAATTCGTGAAGTGTGCTTGGAGCAGAGAAGGACTAGTGAGAAATAAAGTGGTTTTTGAAATGCAGTGTAAGAAAAAAGATAGGTTTAGGGGTGGGTAGGTAGATGGTTTCTTTGCAATATGATAGAGTATTGATGAGAAAGTCTTCAGTAACTTCAGTGTTTTTGCTAAATCAAAATTGGGAACTGAATACTGATGGCTGTAAAAATAGTTTTGTTGGTGAGAGTGTAGTGTAATGTATCAAGGCATAAGTGCTAACTGAAGAGTTTTGAAAGACGAGCAAGAAGTAACATAATGGGTAGGTGAAACAAGCAGCCATTGTAAGACCTGCTCTGTATAGTCTTTGTAGAGCTACTATAGCCACAGTGCTTCATGTAAGTGAATGCTACCTTGAGAAATTCATTCTGCTTATCTTGTATCATTCATCTCCTGCTTGCTCCAAAATGTAAATTATATACTTTATCCTTTTGTAAGGCCCGAAAATATTTAAGGAGTCTTTTTTAAAAAACCTCTTTTAGCCTCCAGTGCTTTCTTAAAGGTATGCTGGTTTTATTAATGTTAAGCTGTGATTTCCTTATAGTCAGAAAGAAAAGGTATGACCAACTGATAACTAAATTACTGCTGCTAGAATTACATGTCATAGATTGTTTAGTAAATATGGATTTCAGTGACGACATCCTCCAAGTTCTTGTTTACATAAAAAAGAGTAAAAGAAACCTATTGGCTTTGCTGGTAAGGAGAGTGTTTTGAATTGATGTTTCATGCTAATAGCTCTTTTTTAGAAGAAAGTACAAATAGGTGAATGACTGAAACCTCCCATATTTTGACATAAGCTCTTTGTCTCTCATTCTGTATAGGATATGTGAAGGTTTGATTTTGTTTGTGTGGCTTTTTTTCCCTCACTCTTAAAATTTCTGGCACAGTTGAGTCCTGATCAATGACCAAGCATGTGTTCAGTGTTTCTCCTCTAAAACGGTTGTGAATTTTCTGTATGTTTAAAGAAAAGTCCTCAGAAAATCTTTGATTCTTTTGATTTTTTTTTTTTTTTAAAGGGTGTGTATTACAGGAACTAAACCTTTGTCTGTCTTCTGTCATTGTACAGGTTAAAAGTTGAGCTTGAAGTATACTGCCATGTATGTGAATGAGTACCTGAGTGACTTTTGAACATGTCAAGTCTTGTTCATCAGATCTTTTCATAGGAGTCTAGACACCAAAATAGATTATTGTACTTTTCCCAGCAAATATTGACTGTACGGTGCTACCGACAGGCTACTGACAGGTTGATCACAGTTTCTGGACAGAGTTATAAAAAACTTAGTGACAGTAGCAACATTACATGCTATTTGTAACAGGGGCATTCTGACAGTGTAGTCTTGTGGAATGTCACCTGAGCAGCCTTTGTGAAAAACAGAAACAAAACCTGCACTGACATCCGTTAGCTTATGTCAGCAACATTCTATCACAAGTATGTTAAACTTCCTATCAGTGCCTTACCCTGATTATGGGTTATTTGCATAGAATTGGCTTGGGCTTTTTACATGACAGCAAACTGCCTGTTTGTTAGAAAGGTGGAGTAGATTTCACGTGTATGTGCTGAATTTCTTGACTGCAGACTTTACCCCCACTTTGATAGTAAACTTGAAAACACTCTGAGAAGTCTCTGATTATGTAGATGACTCGTTTGTCTTTCTGCTTTGCGTCAAAGCGTGCGCATTTTTAGCTAAACCAGCTTGCTTGTAAAAATGTGATGGAGTACGGATGTAGGAGGACAGGGCAGGATGATTGGGAATGTCATAGCATGGAGTTCTGCCATCCCCATTGTTAATTTTTATGCTAATCCCTTTTATATCCTTTGTATTTTTCTAGTCATATGAAGATAACTTTGTAGCTGCCTACCTCCCCACCTCTGTGGGCTGTAGAACTTACACAGATGCCTTTTCTTTAAGTTTTAAAACAATAACGTAAACACAGCTCAGAAGCAGAAAGGTACAGGAACTGGCAATCTGTAATGAAGCCTAAAACTAGGGAACCTGAAACCAAGCTGTCACCTTTTCCAGCCCAACCTTCTTACTAGAGCTGTGTGTTTCATTCTCCTAACAAATTCTCTGTCATGCAAGTAGAGGACTCCTATCTTGCTCCAGCTCGAGATAGTGCCTGGAAAAAGTATCTTGCAGATCACAGTACACTGGAGTATGTTCTTCCAATACTACTACTTACATAGGGTTTCCCACCTCATGTAAAACCCCAGTAAACCAGAAGAACGGCAAATAGCTTTCCTAGTCTTGCTGTGGACACAGTGAGAAAAGATTGAGAGTAAACTCTTTAAGGATAAGTTCTTTTCTACATGCTTTATTTTTTTGTAATGTGAATGGTACACTGGTCTTGTTAATACACATCCAGTTATGAGGCTTTACATACCGCTTATACTTCTCAAGAGCACCAACATGAAATACTGAATTTCCCACAGATAACCTCCCTTATGAAAGTAAACTTGTGGATAGATGGAAGACATCTTCTCTTCCTTCTAAAATTTTCCAGGAAGATGAGCTTGGTCTTGCTTGAGGGTGTGATCGGAAACAGAAGAATGTCTGTCAGGTGTGAATTCTGCACCACAGGTTCAACTTCATGGTAGCAGACAGGCACCCAGGACATTGTTCATTGAGGAAGCTAGCTGTCACTCTATCACCCAGTTTTATCATGGCGTGTGGTTATCCAGGGTTGGAGACTCCAAGTGGTAGCCTTTAGGGCTGTTCCCCTCAGCTTGCTCTCTTGTGATTATGTTTTTCCCCATTTTTTGACAGGATGAGAATAAAATAAGCCTGTAAGAACCTCTTGTATCTTTGCGTAGATGTCACATAGAAAGTTTTGGTTGGCGCTGAAAACTGAAAAACCCTTGGCTGAAAACTGAAAAACCCTTGGGTTTATCTTTTTCTCTATCCTTAACATAAAAGCATAACATAACATAAAAGGAGACATCTCCTTAACATAAAAGGAGACATAAAGGTTAAAAAAAAAAAAAACAAACACAAAAATCCCCAAACAAACCAACAGAAAAAAACCCAACTAAACAAAACCCAAAAAGCTTAATTTGCATGAGAATAGTGAAGAATTCCTTGCTTTTTATTTAGGCGTGTCGTAGCTGGAAGCAAACATAGTTGGAACAGACATGCTTAATTAATAAATTGACTATATGCCTTTTAAGATTTTTATTTATTTACTCTCAGTTAAGCATGATGTTCAATATGGGCAAATGTCGCATGGCAAATTGCGCCATGGAAAAGGACTTCACAGGTGTTTGGGCAAGAACGTCACCTGCAAGCCAGATTGCTGAAACAGGAGTGTTTGCATGGTTCCTCAGAATGACAAAGGATTCTTCAGGTCTTTTATCTGGATAGTTATCGCTGCGCTTTCTGTGTACCTTTTCAGATTGCAGTAAGATGGACAATACATTCAATTTCTCTTCAACTTCAGCAAAACCAGTGGATTTGGCATCTTAAAGCTTGCTGTTGTATTTGCCGGGGTTCATTGCAGGGTTAGGTAAACAAGGTTTTCTTTCCCAAATGCTCTGGTCTCCCTCTCGTGGAGGTACGTGAAAATGGACCTTGCTTTCAGTGGTGATGCCTGGGCAACGTGTGTCCGAGACATTAAACGGTCCCCCTCATATATGGTTGTACGTAAATGTAATTGAAGTTTTATGCAGCACTATATATGCTTCTACCCTGAAATAACCTTTGAAATTAAAACTCGAACATAAAAGTGGAATGCTTGAAGTAGTAATTGCATGTTCATGTTGGTGGACTTTTTAATTGTCATGTGTATTGGGTTTTACTTGCTTTAATTTCACTGAGTTGTTGCCTTGATTTCAGATACTGTGTCTGCAGTACTGTATGGCCATAACCACTACATGATGTTCTCTGTAGAAAAGACTGTTCTGTAGCCTCTGGGCTTTTGTTCAGTGTTTCTCCTTTGTAAAAGCAGGAGGTAATTGTGAGGTAAGAGCAGTGTGCACGTTCAAAAAAAAAAAAAAAAGGAAATAAAAATGAAAACAGGCATGAACAGACTCTTTTTGCAGTGAGATGTAAATCCTTCAAAGGTGATAGCATGGAAAGTTTGTCAAAGGCTACCTGCCACTGAATAGAAATAAGTGAATAAGTGTGGGAGTGAGTGTCTTCATTGGGCAAGCAAGTTTGATTACTGTTGCTACAAATTCTTCAGTTGTAATCACCTATATTCTACGGAATGAACAGAAGCTATCTGTAGAAATCTGTATATTTCTAAAGATATATGTACCTTGCTGTCTCATCAGTTAGTTGTTAAGTTACAGGGGCACATTGTAGAGACTTTTTCTCTATAGTAATTTCATAGGATCACAGGGTAATTCAGATCAGAAGGGACCTCGGGAAGTCTCTAGTCCACCTGCTTCCTTAAATCCCCCTCTCCTGTGACACTGGTTGCCATCTGGTCTAGAAACCCACCAAAGGCGGAGACTACAAAACATCTCTGAGCTTTCAGTTCCCCTGTGCCCCATAGTAAAACATGTCTCCTTCTATTCAGTCAGAACTTCTGCTTTTGCAGTGTTGATGGACTAAATCAGTTATAGATCGATGCAAGTCTTTTAATTTCATTACCAAGGTCCTTTCTCTCATTGACTATATGTCTTGAAGGCCTGGTTACCTTTCATTTTGCTGATCTCCAAGAAATTGCCTATTGTCCTCCCCTGTCATAAGGCTCTTTCAAATGTATAATATGTCTGGATTTTTTTTTTCAGTGTACTTCTAACTGTGTTTGCAAAAGACAAAATATCATCCTTTTGTGAATGAGCAATAACAAAGAAATATGCACAAAGCCTTAGTTCTAGCAGTACTTTGGAAGGAGGCAGAAAGTATGTATTTTAAAACAGCTGCATTGGTTTACTTATGCTTTTTGGGGTCCCTCTAGTGGTCGGTGTTGAAGTTACTGTTAAGAAACACAGTATTGCAAAGAATGATCTTCCCCTGAAGTATATCCTAACAGGATGAAATAATCATTTCACATCATAATTTTTTGACACAGAGCTGTACACTAAAAGCAATACATAATACTTTTTAGGAAAAAAATACTACATTTTAAGACACAATAAATTTGAATTGGACATCACTAATAGCGACCAGAAACTCCACATCTTTGTGCTCCAGTACTGCATTTTTTAAAAATTCTGTACTCTTATTCCACCAAAGAATAAGCATAAAGCATCTGGAAAGATACTTTTCAGAAGTAGAAGGAAGATTTTGAGCAATATTTTTTTTTCTTTCAAAATATTTAGAGCAGTTTACAATGGATTCATCTTATAAGCATCTCCATAGAGGCATAAGATCAATAGACTGTTGATATCATGGGTTTAGGATATTAAAAAAAAAAAGAATAATGGGAAAGATGGTGTATGTAAGTCTTCTTCAGCAATTTTAAGAAATAGTAATATATGTGGGAGAGAAAGCATCCATGCATACATTTATGGGAAGAAAGAATAAAAATCGGATAAAGGACAAATATTTTGATGTGTATTTCATTTTAGTACTTAAAATTTAAGATTTTTCGAGGCATTTGTATGCAATTCTCTGAATTCTCCTCTGGGGCATACTCGGGGAGGGTCTGAGTGTTGACAGTATGTGTGCACCCTGGGCTATCGCACTGCACCTGTGCACACTGGTGGGACTTGTGTGACCTGTGATTCTTGTGCTTACATTGTTCTTACCAGAGAGGGTTTTGCATGTAGGTACTTTGTTGTTGTTCTTAATATTCAGTTGTGATTTACACCTTGCCCTCTATAAAACTGCCTATTTCTTTTCAGAACTTTGGTTTTAAATTAAACTGGGTGCAGAATTCATCACTTAAGCTGTGTCTTTTAAAAATAATTTTTAAAGTAAAAATTGAAAGTCTCTGCCACTTTTTTTTTTTACTGAGGGGTTAAAGGGTGATTTGCTGATGTTCTCTGCTCTGAGTAGGGTGAAAGCTGTGTGATCTGCAGTTATGCCCATTCCCTTCTCATTAAGCTGATCTGTGTGCTACATGAGAGGCCTGCTGCTGTGTCTGTGGCAGCAGCAGGAGGAATGGTCTTTAAAAACTGATTTTGTGTAGTTCAGAACCAAAATAGAAATGGTTTCATCAGCTGAAACTTGTTAAGGTTGTTTGTGTGTTAATGAGCTACTTGAATTTGGAGGTGATAAAGCATTGATTTTTCCCCTCCGCCCCCCCACCCCCCCCGAATTACTATATGTCTGTATTCTAAAGCCCTGGAAGTGACTACCTTCCTCTAAGTTTCCTTCTTGCGGAGGACAACAACTTGACTTCTTGACTTATTTTCAATCAGAAGATAAATGCCAACTCTTAGAATATTTCAAAATTGCGAACTGGACATAAATGAGTTGCTGAGTCTGTACGCTCTGTAGACTGATGTGCTGCTGAAGCATGTGTGGTGTCTTGGGCTTTTGTCCTTTGCTTAGTTCTTCTACAGAACAGAGAATCTTTACAGAATTGAGGTGCTCTACTTGATAATGCAGTTGGATGTTGATATCTTAAGATTTTTTTTTTTTTTCCCCACCTGTCACCGCTTCTTTCAGGAAACAAATGACTCCACTGATGTATGCAGCTAGAAAAGGCTATCCTCAGGTTGTTGCTCTACTTGTCGCTCATGGATCACACATAAATGCCCAAGATGAAAGTGGATATTCAGTAAGTGATTTACTTTTGTGTGCTGTAATTAAAATTTTTAAAAGCAAGAACCCACAAACAGGTTTTTAAGTACAGCTTTCTCAGAAATACCCACTGGTATATTTTTCTGCTTTAACACCCCTTTGAGATTGATTTGCATTACTTGTCTTTGTCTCCAGATTCTGCCACCTTGTGAAAGTTCCATTATTGATTGAACCTCTGTTCTTTTTTGCTCCATATGTAAACTTGATAAAACACTTGTTCTTTGCAGGCATTAATATGGGCAGCACAGCATGGGCATAAAAGTGTAATTTTTAAGTTGCTTGAGCTGGGAGCTGACAAAAATCTGCAGACTAAGGATGAGAAAACAGCAGCAGAGATAGCAAAAGTCAATAAACATCCAGAGGTATTTAATTTCATTTCTCTTTGAAATGCAAATTATGTGGTTTGTCTCAACAGTCTGTTTGTTAATTATACAATTTGCTGTAGAAGTGTTAATAACTAAATTATAGCAAATTGAATACTTGTGCTATTACATCTACAGAGACTATTTTCTGTTATATCCAACTTTTCACAGGGCTTTAAATGCCATAATGTTTTGGGAACTTGTTTTTTTCCAGAGTCCTTGACTTCAGATTTAGAATACAGAACAAGGGATTATTCGCATTAGTAACGTTGATATGAGAAGTAGAAAAATAACGTGTTGTGTTTTTTTCCTGTCTGCCAAATTGTGTGAGAGAATGCAGATATCAAATTAATTTGCAGTGTTCAGTCTCTGATTGAATTTGAAGTTAAAAGGTTAAAGCTAAAAAGGGAGGGAGTTGCTACTGGCCATCTTCAAAATTCATTCCTGGGAGGGAAGAAGGTATAAAATATCATTGGAAGACTAGCCACTAATTATCAGTGTAAAACTATCCACTAATTATCAGTGTAAAGAGGGAGATGCTGAAGACAACATGTATTCTCCTAAAATAAATCTGTTTACTGTCGTTACCAAGTGGTGAATCAGTCAGACCAGATCTCTGTAGTTTGCTTTGAGTTGCTCTTAACAATAATGGGTCTTTTTGCAGTGGCTCAGCAAAAATGTATGTGAATTGTAATTCACTTTACAGCTCCTTTTTCTTTCTTTCTTTTCTTTTTTTTTCCTGCCAGTCTCCAGGCCTAGGCAGGAGCAAAAATGATAACTATGCACAAAGCTGTCAGTGTAGGCTAGCAAGATCAGTGTCTGAGGCTCAGGTTACCGAAAGGGGCTACAAATGCTTTGTGCCATTGTTAAATGACTTGTTCATCAGGCTGTGGCCATATAAACTTATAACACGACTTTGTCTGATATGGAGGGAATACAAGCTCCTCACGCTTGAGAGGTAGGTCTTGCCTCTTGACCTGTGGAACACTACCTTTCACAGACTTACTGCAAAGTCTTGCAGATGGTATTGTGGTATTTAGTAGTCATGAGGTTCTTCCAGCTTGGGGGCCTGCTCTTCAGACTGCTGATAGTCCTTTGGCTTGTCATATAGACTATATCCGTGGAAACTGGGTCTGGGAGGGGGGATAGTTTTCTTACATATTGTACTGGGTTTGGCTGGGATGGAGTTATTTTTCTTCCTAACAGCCCTTATGGTGCTGTGTTTTAGGTTTGTGACCAAAACAGTGTTGGTAACATACCAGTATTTTAGCTGTTGCTGAGCAGTGCTCACACAGCATCAAGGCCGCCTCTGTTTTTCACTCTGCCCCCCATTCCTAGCAAGTAGGCTGGTGGTGAGCAAGAGGTTGAGAGGGAGCATAGCCAGGTTAGGTGACTCCAGCTGACCCAGGGGATACTCCACACCATATAACATCATGTTTAGCAATAAAATGGTGTGAGGTGTTTTCCGAAGTAGCTATTTCTTGGAGACTGACTGGAAATTGGTCTGCTGGTGGGAAATGGTGAGTGACTGCCTTTGCATCGCATAGGTTGTGGAGGTTTTCTTGCCTTCACGTATTAGACTCCGTCTATCTCAGCCTAGGAGTTTTTTCTCATTTTTACCCTTCTGATTCTCCCCCATCCTGCTCAGAGAGTGAGTGAGCAATTGGGTAGGGGCTTTTTTGCCAGCCAGGAACAACCCACCACACATTTATTGGGGGGGGGGAGGTGTATATGTGTATAAAACTGGCTAGTCACCTGTATTTCAGGAAAGTGGTTTCACCATTCCTTTAGGTTTATTTAGGTTCTGCTTGTTTTTCTGGATTTTGTTGTAACTATCTCAAAACTCAGACAAGGGCAATTCAGTTTCTGGAATCCATCGCTGATGCATAGTGATGTCTGGCAGAAGGCTTGCTGCTTTAATAAGGTGAAAGGACCCCTGTCTGTCAGCTATAGTTAACTTAGATTGTCAGTTGTAAATTGCTAAATGTTGGGTCCGTATATGCACTGGAAATGGAGATGTTAAGGTAGACATGTGCCGTGTGCTTTTTGGACAACTTATTCCCTTGAGTATTTAGAACTCTTGTCCACAAATCAAAAAAATTAGTATGTTGGTGTATTTGCTGCTTCTGTAGTGACAGATGCTAACTGATTTAGACTGCATTATAAGTGGTGGTTTGCTCTGCATCAGTTCATGCTGGAAATTGATTAATTCAGAAAGGCACTTGATAAACTTTGCGGGCTTAGTCTTAACTCCTCGTTGCAGTTGTGTGCTTTAGAGAAGTGGCAGATGCTTTGTGTTCCTTGTAATTAGTAATTTATGATGTAAGTCTTTGTAGTCTTACTCCTGTGTATTTCTATATGTATTTTGACTTTGATTAATAATTAATTAATTTTGGCTCTTTCAGATTTATAGTTTACTCTCTTTGGCTGCAAATAACTTGCAGGGGAAATACCATGGAACAACTAAGCAAGAGGCTACCTACACATTTCTGACAGCTGTCTCTGGCCACAGAGCTGGGTAAATAGAGTCATAGTGTAATTTAGCTTATAAACATTCATAAGAGATTGTATTTGTTCATATCAGTGATTAAGCTGTACTGATACATATTGTGTATTGTTTGGAGCATTTTCAAGAGTTCACAGTAAGTATATCAATGTACTATTAATTTTTCAAGATTTCAAATTCCTTTGCATTATAAACAAAGAGCATGCTCTAGATCTTTCCTTCCTCTTGCTTGGTGTAAAGTGCAGTAGAGCCAGGGTCCAGTGTCACTTCAGTTCATTTCAGGTCTGTTAAACTTGTATGCTCCCCTGTTGGATACTGCTTGTTGTGTGGTTGTCTTCGTTTGATGTTAAATTTCTGATGCTTTCACTGGATGCCTATTTTTAGTTTCAAGCCACCAGGTAGAGTCATGCCCTTTTCATTTTTTCTATGCATATATGAGAGTCAAAATGAAGTATGAACACCAGTTAAGCTCTAGAATTTTTTGCCTAGCGTGACCCTGACCCTGAAGCTTGCAGGTGTCCTATGACTGAAATCAGCCCCTGCTTCATTAACTTCAGAGACCTCTGATACGGGTTTGTCCCAGAACATGTTGGCAAAGAAGTCCTCAACAAACCATCTAGTTGAGCCTCCTGAAGCTGTGTGATCTTGAGAAAACAACTTCCAGTGCCCATAGTCTGTTCTGGGTGGTCAGATTGATTCTTTCTTCAGCTAGGCCATGCTGATTTGGAAGTGCCGTGGTTTTGTATCACCAGGCTGATGGCAGTTCACACTGAGGTAGTCTCAGACAGAGTGTCTCAGTTCGGACATAGCTTCACCAAGTTCTGTTTCTAGATGAATGTATGCGTCAACCAGGTTTTTATTCTCTGGTGCTTCAGCCACGTCTTAGAGGTCCTTCTTGGAGCAGAAGAGTGAAGGCTTTGCATAGCAAAATCAATTATCTGTGCTATCCTCTTTGTTCTTGCATTTTACTACTCTCAGATTCCTAAAGGTGTTCGGAGCGTATCTCCCCATGTATGAACAGGTCACCCATGGGATCTGTCTGCTCCTTGGGGGTCATTTTGAGTCCCTGTGTACTTCCCATGAAGGTGAAATTCTTTTAAATCTTCTGGTATTCTTCACAAAGATTCGTACTCCTAGATAGAGTCTGTACTTAATGACTTTAGTGTTAGAACAGATCTTTTTTTATTTTTTTAATAGGTTTAGGTTATTTAGAATGTTTTCCAGGCTTTTTCTGGTATAGGGAAATACACTAACACTATGCAGCCATTATCCAAAGTAATTTAGTGCTGTTGAAACCTGAGGGTGGCTAGAAGACATTCTCCCAGTGTCTGGGTAATCTTGATAAGCTTTTAAAATAAGACACTGAAATCCTGAAACCAACTTAAAATACTTTATGGCAGCCAGACATCTAGCTACGCAAACCTAATTCTGTATTAGGCAATTCTTGGGCTTCCAGGATTTCACAACGTTTCGGTAGTGTTTTTCTAAACTTTACTGGTTTTCTCTGCATCAGATGAGCAACTGATTTGTTTCTATGAACAGGCATTTCTATGAAGCTCAAGGATTTTTATACTAACAGTACCTAGTTCTGATGTTTCATAACTTTGAACATTTCTGGTAATTAGTAGAACCCTTGGTTTCAGGAAACAGTTCTCTTGAATATATCAGACGCCAGGCTGTTAAATGCCTGTTCTTAGAAATATGGCTTATCTGTTTCCACACACACATACCCACCCCCTAATGTGTTGGCTTTTTTTAATCTAGTGATAGCCAAGAGGTAGACTGATACCTGTGTTTGCTCCATCATAGTTCCTTGAGCTGGTATCACCTTTCTGCCATTTGCCTGTATAATTTTCATCACAGGCATTGCCAGTTGTCTTCTCAAGTCCCTCTTCTCTCAGTTGCTCCTAATGTATCATCTGGTACTGGGTATCCATTGTGGCCCACTGCAGGGTCCGTGAGTCCTTGCTGTTGTCATCCTCCAGTCGTTCTTAGGTAGTGAGTGTAGTTTCAGTTGTTGCTGTCTGCCATCCTAATCGGACAATTGTCCTGGCTCCAGTGCCTGAGACTATACAAGGAAATGCACATACCTGGCAGGAATTTGCTTTCTTCAGCTCCTGGATTAGGTACTTTTCTGATTCAGGGGCTTTCAAGTTATTGTTTGGATGCTGAATAGGCCTTTCTTTGATCCTGAGGAAAGAAAAAAAAAAAATCCTTTCCTTGCACCTGTAACAGAACCAAAAGTCTTGAGTTACCCAAGGATTCCCAAAACCTTTGCAAACAGGGCGATTTAAATGCCTAAATAAAAACATTTCATCACTGCAGGCCATTGATACACTGTCTTTGCCATTTGAGGGACATTGGCTGTACGTACAATGTTGGAATGTATACGTGAGTTGCTCACCTCAAAGACTGGTTGTTGTGCCCTGTATGCTGAGGGGGCAGGAATCAGGCAGAGGATAACACAGCTTCATGGTAGGGATATTATGGCTTTAAACTCCATTAAAATTATTTTGAACTCTGTATTTTGCCAGCTGACAGAAGGCATGCTTACTGAACTAATGACTTGTTACAGTGTGGAAGTTGCATGAACTCCTTCATATGTGATTTAGGGATAAGTATACTTAAATACCAAAAATCCTGGCGTGCAAGATTCTCAACGTGCAAACCTGAAATATTTTCTTCTGTATTCAGAAAATTTTCTGGAGAGCTTGGTTTATTTGGGGTTTTTTTACAAATTTTAATAGGAGCTCTTTAAAACTTTGTTATGAAAAGTGGGCAGACCTTCATTTCAGGCCCTACAGAGCAAACTGTCTCTTAACTCAGGGTTTTGGCAAAGGATTTGCTGTAGCAATTGCAGTAGTCCTTTCTGCATTTGGTATGATTGGCATTTTGGTTTAATTCTGTTGATTACAGTTGTTGTGACTGTTGAAAGCTGTTTAGATATTTTTTTCCCTTATATTTTTATATCTGTTAGTAGGGCAGGGAAGCAAAATTGAGATTTTACCTATATTTATAAATATTAAACTCCGAACCTACGGTGGGTTATACTACTACCTCAGTCTGCCTACTGAACAGTAGTCTTCTGACAAAGCAAATTTCTTACTGGACTAATTTCTGCTATCCTTAATTAAACACTCCTGTTTTCTTGCTAACCTTTTTAGTGTAAATGGAACTGGAACAGTTGTGAGCTGAATCCGGTTTATATGAATGTTATCTGATAAGAATACATAGTTCTCTTCTGAAAACCCACTTGCAAATTTTTCAGGCTTTTGTGGCCCAACTTTAAGGTTCAGTTAGAATAGTTTGCTACATAAAATGACATTTATTTATGAAATCATTCCACTTAGGCTCAATTCAATTCATTAGACAGAAAAGCCATTTGTAAAACTTGGATAAATTAAGTGGTACCCAATGATGCTTATGAGATACGGCTGTCATCAGGAGTTCTGTACAACTTTAGGTTGCCCCCAGTGCTTTCTCTGGGGAGTGCTTCTATAATGTTTTGTTCTGGATGTCTTTTTTTTAATTTCGACTGTTTTCATCTTGAATGTCATTAATTGTATTTACAGTTTGTGTTCAACGTTAGATGACATGGAAGTGTTTTTACATGGTCTTGGTCTAGAACACATAGTAGGAATATTGAAGGTAAGTGTGTGGTATATCTGCTATCTGTAAAGTAATTCATGAAAGCAAAATGCACCTGCAGCATCATAAAGTTCTATCACTAGTAGTATATTAATCCAAGTGAATTTATTAAATCTCAAATACATTTATTAAACAAAAGTTTATAGATAAAGTGTTAAGTTTAACTGCAGTGGAATGGAGTGGCTTGCTTAATTCTGATTATGTGCACCAATCACAATATGTGATGTTTCTAGACTAGACAACTCTCTCATTGATTTGGTAAGAGTATTGTGTAGCTGGTTTTGTTTCTGAAAACTGAAGTAAAACATGCATGAAGAAAATTAAATGGTGTTTTTAGAATTTTTTTTTGATGGTAGAAACCCCTTTGTTTTATACAGGAAAGAGAGATATCTTTAAGACAACTTCTGATCATGCAAAAAGATGAGTTAATACAGGTCAGTTTAATCCTTTAGAACTTCATTTAGTTCTCTCATCTTTCATAAATGTTTTAAATGTCTTAACTTCTCTTCATAAATGTCTAACCTTGTAAGAATTCTTTTTTTTTAAGATCTGTTTTCAGAATCTTTTGTAACTTCTTGAATTTTAATGTGAATATGGACAGACCTTTTCTCAAAGTATAAAATCACACAGATCAGCTTTACAAGAATTCAAGTCTCAGAATTCATCTTCTCTGCCTAGATCTGACTAAGGAGTCCCCAGTATTTCTTTGCTGATGTGATGTGGGAGTTGGGGTGAACAGGAAGTGGTTCCATCTTTAATTTTACCATTTATAGTATTTAAGTATGTTTTCTCTGAAAGGAATTGGTACTAGGATTAGCAGTCGATAATCCTAAACAACTACTTAAAATGTGGTCCTCCTTTGTGAGGTGGGAATTTCTGGAGAGCTCTCTTACATTGTGGTATCTTATATCCCACACAGGTTTGTGTGGAATGTGAGGGGAAAAGATTTTTTAAAAGAGAGAAGATTTGGTTTCTTACAGTTTACTGTAGCTAGGAAGGTTTGTACTTCACTGTTACCCAGGAGGAAGTGATGCATTATTACAAGGTTTTGGTTTCCAGTTGAGATAGGGTGGTTGCTTTTCCTTAGTCTTTGCTGGAATTATTCCTGTGGGAAATGAAAGACTTCCTGTGCTTACAGGAGGATGCCATAATAAAATCCAATTATAGGAGTCTCCTTAGAACAATGTAAGTATTTCAGGCTGCAGAGTCTTCAGAGCACTCTGTACCTGGTCTGGGATACCAGAGTTGCCTTGTTAAAATAGCTGCTCCAGTCAAGCCTGCTCCCTGCTCCTGATTCTAGCCATATCCTCGGTGTCAGCTTCTTTCCTCTTCTGGTACCAAGGAGGCATGTGTTCTAGCAGCTGGAACCAATGTTTGCTTCCAGATGTTAATATTCCTTCAGAGTTGGTGTCACAAGGATATTTTGCATGAAGTTTTGTCTTGTAACTGAGTAGAGTTTCAGTGTTTTGACAGAGCTTGGAAATAATCATGTATTCTCAGAGGGTGCACATACAGGGAGCTTTGTTAACTAACAGATTTTTATGAGTTCACTCAGTCCTAAATATTATAAGGCATGCCAGTGTGTTCTGATGTTACTGCTTTTCTGAAGCCTCAGGATTGTGCCCATCAGATAGCATCCCAGTGTGAGCTTTGCATGGATCCTAAAGCCCCTGCTGACAGTTTTGCTCTTAAAGGAGATTTTTGTGGCTTCCTTCTCATCACTGTGTGAGCTGCTGTCTTGCAAATCTGAGTATATGTTCTTATTGATCACCTGTTTTGATGTTGTAATCGTTACTTATATTTGTCCAGGGGAGACTGGGGAAAGAATTGTGGACTTTAGTGAATGGATGACCCTTATAGTTCCTTCACAGAAGGGAGATAATTTCACACAAACTGGTAACTTCTGTTTCAGTGTCCAGACGTGTCTGGGACTCCCTATTGTAAAGAGGCCTTTTTTGGACTAACTGAAATGGATACCTGGATCAGCTGCTCTTGTGCAGGAAGGTAGTATCTACAGGAACAGAACTGTTTTGCCTCTTAGCTATGCAGCAGCAGGAAAAAGTTCCTGGGTAATTAGTCGTGCTTTGTGCATGGACATAAATTAATTAGTGAATCCTCAGTTGGGAATTTGAAAAATGACATAACACTCCTGGCTTATGAGCACTTCATAAATTATCCTAAATTCTTGATGCAGTCTAGTATTCAAGCTGTACTAACAGTTTCTCCCCACACTGCTGATAGAACAAATCTAATCTGTTGCCTCATAAGTCCAGAGTTGAAAGTTTTTAGTGCGATGGCAGATCTTCAAGTAACAGCCAGCTCTTTTAAAGAGCCTGGATCTTATTACTACAAAGATTAATGATGACCTCTGATGGATGCCTATGAACCAAGCTGCTTCGTATCCAGAGAACTGGGGAGAAATCCTGTCACTAACATGATGCACTTTCCTCCATCAAACAATATCAGAAAGATATTTTCTCTGTAAATATCTTTATCTGTATTCTACAACAGAGCCTAAACAATGACTCTTTCAAGCCGAAATCCTTGCATTCTTTAAGCTTATAAACTGTTCCATACTGAGACAAGTCTGTTCAATATACTGGGACATATCTGTTCAACACTTGGATCTTTTTGTGTGGGTTTCTTGAGCATTTGTCTCACAAGATAGCAACAGAGGTAATTTTACTACTTGATGCATTTAAAACAGAGATGTTTCCTTTCTCACATGTTTATTAGTTGAGAATAAAGGAAAATGGCATGCTGTTCTGGTTTTGAGGATGCATAATGAAAACTTGATACATCAAAATTCAAAATATAACACAGGAGCTTAACATGATCATTAGAGAATGATCGGACCTGTGTGCTTCCATATCACAGTTTCAGGGCTCTCCTTTCTCTTTGCTCCTTCCCCACAAAAAAAAAAAAAAGCATGTAATATTTGGCAGAAAGTTGTCAGGTGATTAAAAATAGTGACCACTTGGGCAAGATGGCAAGGACGTAAGAGTTCATGCATAACCTGACTGTTTTTATCTGAGAAGTATGTCCGCTTCCATGTGTTGAGGCAATCTATTATCCATCTCTTCTTTCGTTTCCATCTAACAGATAACAGGAAAGTCATGCTGATGCTGAAGTATGAGTCTGGGGCATGGATTTTCAGGGGTCGGTGTTTTTACTTATTTAAATAAACACCAAAAGAGATGTTAGAGTTGACGTGCCTAAAATCAAAATTTATACTGCGTGTTATCTGCTTTACAGATAAGCAAGTTCTTGTGCAACACTTGTACATTCTTAAACGTATGGCCACTTCACAATAGCATTTGCATTATTTGGACTTCAGGGTGTAATTGAACCAACACCTTCTTAAAAGCTTGCTTATCCATGAGGAAGAAGAGCTGCTTGCACTCTGCTTGTTCCATGCATTCATTATTGCATGAATAGTCAGGTAACCCCCATCTTCATCAGGGATGGTGTAGAAAGGGAAAATATGTCTGCTTTGGGAGGTACATACAGCTCGACATAAAGTTATTTCTACGAAACCCAGATCTTTCTGTCTTAAGGCTAGTGATATTTACCAAAGAGACTTGAGTACAATTTGTTCAGGTACCCATGGCAACCTATTGGAAACTCAGAAGTTCTTGAAACCTGTAGTTAAACTCCCAATTAGTCTTGTTGGGATTGTACGTTACTGAAGAACTTACTTGTCTATAGACTTGCAACGTGGTGTTGAAATGTTTAAAGACACTTGTGACCCCATAGTTAATGTTACCTGCGATTTCTGAGCACCTGGTGGAGAACCTGGAGAACTGTTCCATGGAGCCACAATGAACGCTGGGCATCACAAACCATAGTCTCCCACAAAAGCAAGTGTTTTTGTAGGCATCTGCTCTTCCTTAGAATTGCTGCTCATCACCATCTGAGAAAGAGAGGCTGCCTGGCCTTTTTGATCTGATGTATGTTGTCTGTTGTTCATTGGAAATTGGTTCTGCAGTAAGTACAGTAAGCTGGGACACTGCGAACACTAACATCTTACAGATTTCTGAGGCTGCAGCAGGGGACTTCACATCCTCACAGCATCAGTGAGAACTCCATATGTTCTAGCTTTGGAAACTGTGGGTTACTTGCAGTCAGATTCCAGAGTGATCCACTCCTGATGAGTCCAGATACTTGGCTGGAGAGTTAGGAATGAAGTCCTACTTGGAGCTGGCCTTATGAGGTTTTCCACTCGAGTGGAGAAGCATCCCTAGTGCTGCTAACATCAGAAGTCTCATGTTGCACAGCAGATGAGCAGAGAAATTGAATATGCCACGGACATGCTTCCCTTTTAACAAGTGAACTGTTTGTTTTCTTAAGTTTTCTGCAAGAAAACTCTCTGCCTAGGATTTAAATATTAATTAAGTTTTAATCTGAGATGGTTGTTGGATAACACTGTAGACAGTGTTTTCTGTCCCAAGCATCACTTGGAGAACCTCAGTGTATATCTTCTGATGAAAACTGTGCCTTTCTTCAGCTAAAAAAGACAAAGTTTTGAACACGCAAGAACATTTCTGATGTTGTTTTCAGCCAAGGGTCTAGAAGATGAACTGATTGAGCTTAGGGACTGTATAAGCTGATGTTGAGTAGTATTTTGGCTCCGTCTTAATTTGAGGTGAGAAATCTGTTCTGAGTTTGTAAGTATGCTGTCCTTTGGATATATAAAAAGGATGCTTTTATAGGCTATTGATAGAAACCTCTAGCTAAGTGTCTTTTTAACAGGTCATATTTTCTCACTCTACTGGTTTCTATCACTGGAGTTTTTAGAGGTAGTGTTAACCAACTAGATTTCTTTGTAGAGGTAACTTTTTTAAAAATGAGATTCTATAAGAAAATAAGGTTTTAGGAAAAGATTTTATATCTTATGAGACCAGTTTCTCTAACTGAGGAAAAAATTCACACCCAAAAACTCATAACAGCACTTCTTAAGGTCTGGCCTCTTTCTGTAAAATTCTCCATTTGATGCTGAATTGGTATTTCCATTCTTTGAGTTAAAGCTGTGTCGCTATCATGATGATTGGTGATTTTGCTGTAAGAGATGACTGGTGAATCTGAATTAGATAAGCATAACTTCCTAACAACACAGAGGTACTTAGAAAAAAATAGTTGGTTTTGTTTTTTTCTTTTTTAACAAACCTTCGATTTTCTGAGTATCCTGTGCAATTCCACTTTGGCTCTTCCTCAATTCTTGTAATTTTGTTTGCATCACTGAATAATTTCTTTACTTTTATTTTTTTTTCCTTTGGCAGTTACATACATTGTAGCTGGTTGCAGTAACTTAAAAGCAACTTCTTTTGACTCTTTAACTTGCACAATAAATGATACTGTACTGTTATGTCTTATAAATGTTAAAAGTAAATCATATGTGGAATTCATCTTTAAATTTAGATTGGCATTACAAATCCAGGAGATCAACAGAAACTTCTAAATGCTGTTAATGAGCTACAAGTGGAAGAAATAAGAATTGGAGACCTCCCTGAAGTGATGAAGCTGGAATTAAGGTACTAACTATGGCTAAGGAAGTGGACTATGAGCTATTTAAGGTGACTGCATTGTTTCTGTAGCTCAGAGGTAAAATCCTCTCACACCTTATCCCGTGCATAACATTCATGAGAATACATCAGGTAGTGGGTTATGAGGGCTGGTGGTAGGTGTGTTTTGTACACAGAAAGTTGGAAGCATAGATTCCTGTTGTAGGAGTCTGTTTATGGGTTATGTTGCCATTATGTGCCATTACACTGGCCAGCTTTTTGAGTGATGAATGCTTTCTTTGTACCTCAAACAGGGCTTCATGGCCTTGCTGTGCAGGGTTTTCACTACCTTGTATTCTTATCAGAAACTCTGAAAATCACTTCTCAAGCTTCAGTGTTCTCATTCTTTAATTTCTCTGATGTGCTTCACTGAGCAAATTTTAATATTTCTCTGTGGAAATGGGGTCTTGTCCTCCTTACTTCCCCGTGCTTCAAGAGTGTTACAGACCCTTACAAACCCCTCATGATGTGGTCTCTAATTCTCTAATTTTAGAAATGGGCTCGGGCAGTAGACTGTGACTTTAGTCAGTCGAACTGTTTAATTTAGAGAAGAGTGCTGGAGAGATACTGCTCCTTCCTCATGCCATAGCTGCGTCACTAGTAAATTAGATGCTCCGTGCCTGTTTCTCTCTTCCCAGTCCCACCACCATTTGCATGGCATTGTATTTGCCTTATTTGCAGTGGCCTGGCTAGAGTAGTAGTAGGAAAAAACTCCTCCTGACATCCAGTCTACTCATTAAATAATTTTCTACTGTCCAGCAAAGTAAGGGTTCAGTTCCTCTTTAAAGTGTGTATATCTCCCTCTTGACTGACAGCTGTGCTGCTGCTCTGTTAGCTGTTTCCTGTGATGCAATGACCCGCTTAGTGGATGAGGGGAAGGCTGTGGATGTTGTTCACCTAGACTTTAGTACAGCTTTTGACACCATTTTCCACAGCATTCACCTGGAGAATCTGGCTGCTCATGGTTTGGATGGTTGTACTCTTCACTGGGTAAAAAACTAGCTGGGTGACTGGGCCCAAAGAGTTGTGGTGAATGGAGTTAAATCCCGTTGGCAGTCGGTCACCAGTGGTGTTCCACAGGGCTCAGTGCTGGGGCCAGATCTCTTTAATATCTTTATCAGTGACCTGGACAGGGGGATTGAATGCACCTTCAGTAGGATTGTGGATGACCCCAAGTTGGGTGGGAGTGTTGATCTGCCTGAGGGTAGAAGGCTCTTCAGAGGGATCTGGACAGGCTGGACCGATGGGCTGAGGCCAACAAGGCCAAGTGCTGGGTCCTGCACTTGTGTCACAACAACCCCCTGCAGTGGAAGCTTGGGGACAAGTGGCTGGAAAGCTGCCCAGTGGAAAAGGAACTCAGGGTGTTGGTCAACAGCCGGCTGAATATGAGCTGGCAGTGTGTCCAAGAAGGCCAGTGGCATCCTGTCCAACACCAGGAAGGGATTCTCCCCCTGAACTGGGCACTGGTGAGGCCGCACCTCAAATCCTGTGCTGGGTTTTGGGCCCGTCACTACAACAGAAGACATTGAGGTGCTGAAGTGTGTCCAGAGAAGGGCAACGGAGCTGCGGAAGGGTCTGGAGCACAAGTCCTGTGAGGAGCAGCTGAGGGAACTGGGGTTGTTCAGCCTGGGGAAGAAGAGGCTGAGGGGAGACCTTATTGCTCTGCAGCTACCTGAAAGGAGGTTGCGGAGAGGTGGGTGTTGGTCTCTTCTGCCAAGTAACAATCAATAGGACAAGAGGAAACGGCCGCAAGTTGCACCAGGGGAGGTTTTGACTGGATATTAGGAAAAATTTCTTTCTTCACTGAAAGGTCTGTCAGGCATTGGAACAGGCTGCTCAGGGAGGTGGTTGAGTCACCATCCCTGGAGGTAATTAAGAGATGTGTGAAGATGAGGCGCCCTAATGGCATGTCTAGTCTGTGAGGAGGTTTTTTTTTTTCATCAAAACAAGTACCTGTCTACTTCCAGAAGAGGAACCAGTGCAGACTGGTACACATGCTGTAAGACTGAAGAACTAAAGTTCCAGCACGCAAAAGAGCACAAACCAGTATGATATGGATATACCATAAGTACTCTGAGAGTACCTGAGCTGTTCATATCAAAACAGAGGCTTTGTTGCTGAGCTGAGGTAGTAGGCCAGGCATCCAGGTGTCTAGCTATCCAAGTTAGGCACCTTTGGAAAAGGATGTTGACTCCAGCAAGAGATAATTAAAGCAGTTTACGTCCCATACGTTTTTACTATAAAAAATGGTGTTTCAGATTGAGATGTAGTGGTGTTTAGCATATACTTTCAAGCAGAACAGCTTAAAAATTTGAACAGAGGGAATAAGTAGAGAAATAAAAAAAGTAAGAGTTCACTGCATGTGTGGCCAAATACAATAAAAAACCCACATGATGTCTGGTACAGTCTCACACACTAGTGACTTATGGAATTCCTAGTACAGTATGGTTTTAGATCCTATGTCATTCTCAAAACCAGAAAATAATTGATTGATTAAAGATTGAAGTACACAAAATATGACAGCATTTCAGTTATGGCAAGCACTGCATAGTTTTCTAGAAAGTGGCTTGACATGTATCCTAGGAATCTGACCTTGAGACTAAAATCATAGGCTATGTTTACATGCTATTATATAAAGATTTTACTTCCCACTTGTTCAAAGTCATTCTGTGAGAAGGAAAATCAGTCATTAAGTCATAGAAAAACTAACATAGTAGAAAATGTTGAACTGATTGATTATAAACTCACAGAGTGTCTAGCACTGTTTAGCCACTGGTATTTTGACAGCTATTAATTCCTTTAAAAAGTGATTATTTTTTTGAAAATGTTATTTCCATGTGCAAAGAACATGTCATTGAAATGGATATAAAATTCTATTAAAATGTTTTTAAGAACTATTACTGGTATAATAAAGTATAAATGTTTTTTTCCTTTTCCTTTTTTTTTCCCTTCCCATTTCATGCCCATGACATACTTTATTTTTTGCTGAGAATCCTTCCAGAATCCCTAAAAATAATTTCCTTTGTGACAAAATGCAGAAGGTGCCCTAACTGATCCTAGCCAGCTAAAAAATTATCTTTCTAAGTAGAAGGAAATTTTCATGAGTGTGGCTCGACTGTAGTAACGTGGGAGAAACTTTCAGACTATCTCCAGATGTGATTATTTTGTTTAGTGTTTGGTTTTTTACCCTAAATACCCAGCTCAGTTATACTAATAATAAAACAAAAATGATACTTTATAGAAACAAGCCAGCAGGCTTTTTTACTTACCCGTCTTCAGAAAAAAACATCAACAGTCTTGGATTTTAACCTCTGTACCCTACGGATGCTTATATGTATTTTTGTTTCAAGTGTTAAAGCCTTAACAGTTCAGCACTGTTGCAAATCACAGATGTCCTGGGCAGTGGTGGAAACTTCGCTCACTAATGATCCTGTGCCAAGGTTGAAGGAAAACACTCTATGGGCTCAATTCAGTCTCTGTTTAGATACTTGCATCACACGGGCATGTCGCTGAGTTGAGCTCTTTGGCAAATTTCGTGTGTACCTTTTTGCCATCAGAAGCAGCAGCAAGTAAGCTGATCTGAGCATGTTGCATTTAGGTTTAGTAGCAGATTGCCCTAGGGAGAAGGGGAACATTGGGGTCTGAATTAATTTATACAGATCCTCACGTAAGTATAACGGGAAGTCCTGCAGTAGGAACTGAAAACTGTGTCGTGGTCCAGGTTTTGGCCCTGCTTGTTATTCACCTGAATGGCTTACAGCTAGTGGAAACTTTTCTGCTGGAGATCCAGGCGTTAATCAGGAGTTTCAGGGTTTCAGAGCTCATTCTGTAAAAACAAATAGATGATCTGCTACCTCTGCCCAGTCAATGGCAACAACTTTCTGACCAGCACCATGACTTACAGCCAACACTTACAGTAAAATAAATCGAGTCAGTGTCACATGGAAGCTTCAGAAACTTAACATTGAGATTAGTCTGTTAAATTTTTGTGTCCTTTTCTCCACTCTTTGGAGATACTGATCAAACTAATTTGCATTGTTGTCTTCCTCCTTGTATTTGAGCACAAAGTATAAATTTTCTTCAAAGTGGGTAACATCAGACATTTTAGGCTGAGGAATGTATTTCCAGATCCAGGGCCCAATTCACTATTACTGGATTCTTTCTTCCACTATGCTAGAGACTAAATGACTCTAACCTAGTCATCTCAGTCCTAGCTCCAAAGTACAAACCAGTTGGGTTTTTTTTCCCACATCTTCCTAAAAAATGTAAGCTGCAGGTCAGGAATATTGATATGTCAGCATCAAATTGACTAGAAATTCTGTTTCTGGTGTTGCAAGGCTGTGATCTGGATGCACACCTGCACTGGAAGAGTGCTGCAGTTCCTATGCGTAGTGTGTTCCAAAGTATTCATGCAGCGGGTAGCGCACGCGAGTTTTCGTTGGCAACACAGGATTGGTGGGAGTTAGAAGAAGTGGAGGTTAATGGAATGTTTCCAAAACGCTTTTGGATGACACTTTTTCAGCTTTCAGTGCGTCTCTACTAGCCGAATGCTCCACATAACTTAATGGCTTGTTGTCCTTCCAAAAGGAAAGAAAAAACCCCAAAACAACCCACAACACAAAAAAAACCCCAAAACTTGCTAAGATGTTAAATGTAGTGTTTAGCTACCCTGTGTTAAAATGACACTGGATTTTTTAATTATGCAGTGAAACTGCATGTCTGATTCACTCAGTAGGAAGTGTTGGAAATGCATAGGTGATACTTAGCTTGCAGCCTTTAACAAATAATGGGTATTATTTTGGTTTTGCAGTAGAGATGAATTCCTCAAGTTTCTTCAGAAGCTGGATAAAGAGTGCAATAAGCTGACCGTTCCTGTGCAGACCATGAATAAGCATTTCCTCAAGAATTCTCACAAGGTATTCAACCAAAATAAAAAGATTGATGTATATTACTCTATTCTACAATACTATTCTACCTTGATGAATACTTATCAGCTGGCTTGATTATTGCATAGTTATATAGAGCTGTTCAATGTTATTTCTCTAAAGGACCCTTTTAAGAATAATTTATTTCAAAGAGTTAAGCTACTTAATTAAAGGAGATAGATCTGTTTCTTAGTGTTTCTGCTGATAGGGAGTTAAGTGACAAAAGGTTGCCACAAAGACTGACAGAGGGTAGTAGGTCATGTTGTGCATAAATCAGACAATGAAAACCCAGCATAAGTGCAGTTAGAAACTTTTTCTGACGGTATTTTATGGTACGTTAACTAAACAATATTTAAATTACGATATACAGTAAATCTGGCAAATAACTGTCCCTGTTAACAGGTTGTACTGCATTGGGCACCGACTGAAACCTTTATCGATGTCTGCAGAGACTTGGTTCGCAGTGTTGAAAAGCTGGGAGAAGAAGTTACCAAGCTGAAGGACCTGGTGGAGAAGGTGGGTATGTGCAAGTGAGGCTGTTACACACTGCCAACAAGCGTCTGCATGCAGCCTCCCCATGTGACAGCTGTCAGTGAATCGTTCTGTACCTCCGTCTGGCACAGGCTTGGACACTGCATCCACCTCTCCCTCTTGCACCTTTCCATGGACAGAATGAGGAATAATCTAGAATATTCCACAGCAGCATGGACAGTCTCCTTTCAAAGGAAGGCACAGTTAATCTTTTTCTTTCTGCCAGGGGAAGGAATTAAGTGCAAAGTGTGCTTTGGACAACCACTGTGGTATAAATGCCACTTTGAATACTGATACTCTTACTTCTTAATTAAGGAATCTTTTGTTTCAAATTGTTGACTCACAAGGCAGATACTCAGGTTTTATGGATTGAATGGGAGGCATCCCAGATAACTCTGCAGAGTGACAAAAGAAGAGGGTGGGAGAGGTCAAGGCTAGATGTTAGCACCACATCAGTCATTCCCAAACCAACACAGTGACACGCTCTTGTCAGATGGGGTCATTTTAAGTAATAGGCTAGTAAAAAGGAATGGCTGCTGGGATAGAGTAAATGGAGCAGCAGTGTCAGAAAGGAATCTGTTGCTGAATGAAGCCACGTGGAACTCAGACCTTGAGTATAATGCTACTAATGCAATTTCCTGTAGTTTAAGTAAATTTAATGTAATATAACAGCTTTCTCCCAATAAATCACTTAACACTAAATATATTTAAGAGGTAGATAGAGGTTGTGGCAAGTAACTTTTTAGCTATTTGTGTTCCTTTTTTTTGCATATGCAGAAATTCAGTTGTATGTGTATATTTATCTGTATGTGCAGACCAGTTATAAGGGCTGGGGGATCCAAGTTCGGAGCCACTTGACTTTGCTCTTGGTACTTAGGGTTTTATGGCTGTCAAGATGAAGCACAATGGCTCTGTACCCCGTGTTAAATGGAAGTGTTAAACATTAGGCTTCTAATTACTTCAAAATTTAATTCCTGTTCTGTTAAAAAACTGTCACGTTTTATGAATCTCACTGATGAAGACTTTAATACAAAACATTTTTGTGCTACTCCTGAATGAGTAGAACACTGAAACATTTGTTATGAAAAATGCCAGTTTAAGTGAAACCGTTAAACCTCTTAGATAATAAGTTTGTATAAATTCCCTTAAAATCTTCAGTACTGTTTGCTGAGCTGAGTCATTCCAAGTCATTCCAAGACTTTGCCAGTAGTACATGTTATCATAGTGTCATAGAATAGTTTGGATTGTAAGGGACCTTTAAAGATCTAGTCCAACTCACCCCCTGCAGTGAGTGGGGACATTTGTCCGTAGCATGTAATTTTTGAAAGCACAGTATAAATGAGGTGGCCTTCCCAGCATTATAAACCGAGGTGGGGATTGGGGCCTAACCCAGCTGCACTTCATGAAGAGCTCCACTCAGCTTCAGCATGTTTTTGAGCAGGCACTTGTAAGGTACTTTCCTCTCTCCCTTTAATTTCAAGGAAATGTAACCTGTTACATATTTAACTTGCTGTTTTAATAAGCAGTTGTTTTAGTAATTAAATGGCGAAAGTTCTGGTTAAAATATTTGCAGTTTGCATGTTTTGTTATTAGACTTCTGCAGCGTCTATTAGCGTGTTTTACTCCTGAGTTGTTTGTAAAGAGTTTGTTTTTCTAGTATATATTACAGAATGATTATCTGATAGATAAAGGTTTGCACACATTTATTTCAGTTGAAGTAAGGCACAAACAGTGAGAAAGAAATTATCAGTCCTACTTGCATGCAGATTCTTAGGACTGGGTACTTTATCACATACTTGAGAAGCTTTCACACTAACTTTTTTTTTTGTTGCATTTTTTTACATGAACTTAACATCTGCCTCAGCATGAACAGAAGAATGACCCCAGCCAACTAAAATTGCCAGAAAGAGCACCCACCTTGGAAAAAAAATTAGTAAAAATGGGAGCGGTAACATTGCTTGGATTTGGTTTTTTCTTCTTTATAACTAAGTTAGTGGTAAAGAAAATCTGACTTGAAGTTGTGTTTTGAATAATTTTGGAAAACTTGGTCACATGGTTCTGTTCAGTATATGCAGCTGAGCTGATGTCAAGTGAAAATTTGTGTAGTTTCTCATGATAGCTGTATTATTTGCATCCAGTAAGTACTTTGATCTAGAAATAAAGTTATTAAAAATTAAAACTGCTACTTAAATGTATCTTAAGGTTTTATTTTCAAAGTTATTTTTTATATAGACTGTAAGTCTAAAATCTTGTCAAAGCTGCTTTTTTTTTTGCATAAAGTTGTAATTGCTGCTTGCTAATTACTAGTTTAATTTTTACCTTTAGCTGTTGTTCAGAGGTGAACATAAGCAAATAATCCTAATTATATCACATGTTTATATTTAAAATTATGATGCAAGTTTGTTTTGGGGGTTGGGATGGTTTAAAATATTTGAAGTTATCTCATGCAATTTTATGTTAATAAAGATGTTTTTTCTTGCAGTTTTTCATTCAAATTTATAATAGGAAAAAATTTCACAATGAGGTGTATGGTGTTTTTTTTTTTCTTTGGCACAATCACAGGACTATGGAGATCTTGTTACACATAGCCTGAAGAATCATTTCCCACTGAACTATGATATTCAAATTATGCCTAACCCTAACCCTGCAATCTGTTTCCTCAGGGATGCTTACTTCTCTTAAGAGTTTCATCACATCTATTAAAAGAATTATAGCAGTCCTTTGCTGTAAGAACGCAAGCAGCTTAGAAGGCATAGTAGTGTGTTTTCTCTTGGTCTGGTCTTTCACTACAGCAGCTTCGTGTTTATTTTTTTCTTCATGTTTTCTTCACTTAAAAAGGTGTTTGTAATTCTGCAGTGAAACACTAATATCTGTTTTTCATCTCGTTACCAACCAGCTATGCTGGAAAAAGGGAATTGGTGTAAATATTTCAAATCACAGTTATGTTTTGGCAGACTTCAGTAAACATCTGTAAAAATGCTGAATGTTTCCGAAGGGACATTCTTCTATCAAAATAAAACAGGAGCAGTCTAGAAAAAAACGTAAGCCTCTGGGTGTGTCATGCTTTAGCTCTCCTCTGTTTTCAGGGATGATGTGTGGAGGCTTCATCTTTGATGTTCCCTCCAGAGACTAGTGATGAGAAGATAAAAACCCGGGTGCTACTCCAGTTGCTGTCACAGTTGTTCTCTGCTTTTTGTTTTAGAAAATGATGTTGGGTGTTGGTATGTTTCCTTGTTACTGCAGTAGTTTTACTTCCTTTCCTCCCAGGTTTCTCCTTCAATGCAAAGAACATCCTACGGAGTGATGAGGCCAGAGGCAAATACAGCTTAAGCTGGTTTGGTTTGTTTTTTTTTCCATTCTGTTCTCAACTTTGTGTCAGAGGGGATAAACTGTTTTCCCCACCACCATCTACCAGCAGAAGTCGAGCAGTGCACATACTGTTGGCATACTGACTTGAACCAGCAAAGTTTAAAAACGGAAATACTAAGAAAATAATTCTCTGTTTCTTGATATTACCTTAAAATTAATCCTGAACTCACAGGATACATCACAAAAGAAAGAATCCATGGCAATGGAAAAACTCGTGGAAATACAAAAATCTGTAAAGTGCAGTTTTAACTGCTTCTCATACACACGGAACCTTATATATACACAGCACTCCTTCTCTAATTAGCTCAAAATACAGCTCAAATGCAGTTCCCAGTGACGAGATGGCTCACAAGTGTTACTGGAGCTTTGACATATAACATCATTGGGGGGGGTTCTGTTGGGTGAGGGGGTGTTCCTTTGGGTTTTTGGGGGTTTTGTTTTGTTGGGGGTTTGTTTGTTTGTTTTCCTTTTCTAGGGGGAGTGGGAAAGTGGGAAGGCATTATGTTCACTGTTTCCAACGTGTACTTTCATTTTAGTGAAGTGGAATTATGTCAGCCACTATAGTAAGATTTCTGCGATACTGCCCTTGAAAGGATTGCTTAGCCTCACTGTTCCTTACTTCTCCACTTCAGTGAGAATTTGCATTAACAAAGCCACTTCCGAGGACACTGAAAGTAGCTTCCATTTCAAGAGGTGCATTTCCTACCAGTAGAAGATCTTGTCATTTGAGACAGTGACTAAAAATTTAAATTATCTTTTTCCAGGAACTCAAAAGATTCACTTGTATGGAGGCTTTGAAGGCAACCTTGAAGGTCTTGCATTCAAATAGGAAATCTTCTCCAGAAGATACTTTCATCAGTATGTAACTAAATTATAGGTGTAACGATGTGAATAATGCCATCAGTGTAAAATACCTATGAGAGAAAACATAGTGCATGATACTGGCTGATAAATGTTTTCTAGTTTGAGAGTACAATAACATGTTTTTTGCAGAAATGAGTCAAAAGTCTGAACACTTGGAGCTGACCTCCAGAATGCATTTGGGAGAAGCTGGTCCTGTGAAGTTATCTTATGGGTCACTTACTTGAAGTGCTTGCAGTCACAATTGCAAACACAGATGTGACCAGCATTTGGGTGAAACATAGACTTTCTGCCCGTGGTGTCCTTAGCATGGTGCACTGTTGAAGAATAGTGTCCAGAATGGCATAAACCACACAGGAGAAGCAAAGGTCTGGGAATAACTGTTTTGAGCTGACCCATTAATTGGTTGGTTGTGAACTGTGGTGCACGAGTAGGATATGTTAAGATTATTTTAACCTACCATATAAAAAGTCTTATTTTCCTTTGCAAATTCCAAACTCAGGCTTAAATTATGAATGTCAAGGTCCTTTATTCACTCACTTTCATGTTGCTCCAGTGCCTCTTTCAAATTCTCTGCTTGAGAAGGTATCGAAATCTGGTGGTGATAGGGCAGGAGATTCCTTCAGCATCTGTCCCCTGAGCTACGCCCTCAAAATTCTCACCCCCACCAGCACCTGCTAAGGGAGCCTTCAGATGAAAATGCCCCTGCTGAGAGGCCTCCTTCTGTAAGTCATCTAATTAAAGTCATTATCCCAGAACAGTAAGAATACAATGATTTGCACATCTATGAGGGGATTGGTGGAGGACGCTAAAGAGCTTTGCATGCATTAAGCAGGTAAGCTGCCAGCCCTGTGAGGTATTGTTCCCCTCTTACAGTAGTGTAAATTGAGATGGGGGAGAAGTGAGTGGATTGGACCTGGGGCCAAATCCTGCAAATACAGTTGCTTTAAATATGTGACAAGGTTCCTACTTGCAATACCATTGGATACCTAACTTCTCTGGTTAAGCATGAATATTCATGCAAAGGCCTCTTGTGAATCTTTAGGCTATGTAAAATTAGAGCCTTGGGTGATCTTGTGGAGATCTGAAAGAACCTAAACAATTTTTATTTCTGATTTGTCCTGGCCAAGATAAACTGCAGGTTGTGAGTCTCTCTTCCTGTGCTTAGGAAATTTGCCCCGCTCTTTAAATTTGACTTGTGGAGTACCTGGCCTGTCATTAGGTGTTGCCCAGTTATTCCTGTTGGGTACCAATTGCAAACAGTAGACAGTAATGTGGGGTATGTGCATTCCAAAACTGGGAAGGAGTGAGCTTTTTCATTACAACCTCCATTGACTTTGAGAAGTGCTGTGTTTGGTTTTTCTTCTTTTACTTCATCTAGCGGCCTTGTTGGGCACAAGGCTTAAGCTGGAGCTGTGCACCTTCTTTTTCCTCTTGCCATCTTTGAGCCCCTTCAGCTGTTCCCCAAAGCTGTAACTTGCTCATGAGTGTAGGTACGTGTTTGGTGTTTGCTTGTATTTGCCTTTGTTCCAGCAGTTCTGCAGAAGTTACAGGTTGTTTTACCAGTAGCACAGAACTTTAATTTGGGGAAAGTGCTACCGATGTTGCTGTGGGCCTTACCTGGTGGAAGATTTTGAGTCTTCAGCCTTTCTAAACAAGGCTTTTGTCTGAATAACTTGAGTAAATCCATCTTACTCTGTGTCATGAGAGGGCGATTAAGTGATCCATAGCTTGTCTGGGTTAGTCCTCGGCTTCCTTGTGGTCTGCTTTGGTATTCGCGCAGGAGGGAATCTTCCTGCCTTGAAGGTCTAGCAGATACCACAATCGCAGGTTTCTGCTTTTAAAGGCACTTCCTGTCATTTCTTTGTTCTGGAGGCATGGGGGGAATGCGTATTTGAAAATTTGTATTTCCCTATTCTAGAAATAGGAATTGCCATGTAACGGGGCTCTGTACTTTACAGCCCAGAGATGATCAGCTGTGAAGTATGAAATGGGGTATTACTGGCATTGAATGAATAATGTGATGTGTATCCTTAACAGCTTTAATAGATGTTAAATTACCTTTAGTTTGTATCCTGATTCAAATGGCGTTGTTTCATGCAATATAGAGCCATCGTCCCTCTAAGTGGGACTTAGGGAAGGATTTTCAGTTCCTTTTAATCCGTGTTACTGACTGACATCGACGGGAAGATGCCTTCTACTAAAGGGTTTGGCGGGTTTTTTTCCTTACTAATAATCCTTCATGGATGAACCTTCCATGCCTTCAGCTTTTCTGAAAACAGTCTTTATTTGAAGGTAGAAATACAGGTTTAACTACGTTGTTTTCACTAGTGTATTGAAAAACCTCGGCTCAATTCCATAAGGTACATATTCAAAGAATTGGGCTCTCGGTGTTCCTGGCTACTCTGCTGTCATCTGCATTGCACGTGGCACGGTTTCTTGACTGGGAGAGAAGCTCCTGTGGCAAGGAGGGCCAACAGCCTCTCCAGAGCTGGGTGGGTAACAGTGTCGCAGCACATGCAGGTCAGGGGAGTGATCCTTCTCCTCTCCTCAGTGCTGGGGAGGCCACAGCCAGGGTGCTGGGTCCAGTCCTGGGCTCCCCAGTATGAGAGCGAGATGGATACTGGAGTGCATCCAGCAAAGAGCCACGAAGATGCTGAAGGGCTTGGAGCCTGTGAGCTGTGGAGGGGGGCTGAGAGCTGGAGTTGCTCAGCCTGGAGAGGAGAGGGCTCTGGGGCATCTCATCCATGTGTGCAGATACCTGGGGCAGGGCAGTAGTGA